TACTAAATGCTCATCCCACCTGCCGAAGCAGAGTTAAACAAAAGTGAGCCGGGTGCTAGCAAAGGGCGCTGGCTAGATATACAATAATGTCAGGTGTCACGGTAGCAAGGGCTTCACTATGGCCTAGGGGCTCCCCTATAGTGTCTGTTTGGGCTACTAGATCTGTATATATAATGACTAGGCGACTCCCACTATATAGGAAAGCCCAGGAATCAATAGAATTAACCCCTGACCCCTACTATACTACTTCACTACTAGGCCACTGCTATATTCCTTCACTCTGGTGCAGAAGCACTTGACAAATAACTGACTCACATTTCTTTAACTCGGCCTCACCTGCTGCCAGGCATTCAGGGTTGCCTAGTCGAATCGGGCCTCATCAGGTTAAACTATCGGCTTGCCATCACAAGAACGCCATCTCACCACGTTGTCGTTGTCTGTATGTGGCTCCCGCTCGATACTTTCAAAGTTGTTTCAAGTTCTGTTTAAGATAAATAGGTAGGTACTCTAAAACGAACTCAGAACTAGGTAAGTTAGGATCGCATGCGCACACTTTCAATATCCTCAGCTCCGGATATCCTATCGATAAAAGCACTACCTACGTAAAGGAAACCATCGATATAGTTGCTTACGACGCCCATGCCAAAGATCACTACGTCCAGGACCGGGGTTCATACATGGGCGCGGCGCATACGCACCGTAATATGGATAAAGTTAAGTCACTGCAGTTAGGTAAGCAGCAATCATCCCGGGGACGGAATGAACACGGAGCGGAAAAAACAACGACACACGGCGCATATGCACCGCAACATAGACGAAGATAAATTATTACAGCCACGTGTTACCCCGGGGAAAGGAATGAAAACGAATCGGGAAAAAACGAGAAGAAGAAACAACAACCACAAGAAGTTAGAGGAATTCGGTGCTATTTCGTCTTCGTGACCTTCAAGGTATGTGAACCTGTTTCGCAACTTCATACGATCGGAGGCAGGGATGCTGTACGAGAACGATGCAGAGTATTACACCACTGACTAATCGTACACGCAGTGTTCTCCTCCGATTGGATGTATTTAAAAGTTGGGATCGCATCCTCAATTTTCTACTAAAATTCACTGCCCGCCCACTGTCATTATCACGCAAGCGAAATATGTTGAACTATCTACCTACCTATTCGAAATCGAGTTCGAGTCGTGAGCCATATCTCCTAGCTGGTAGAAATGATGTCAACTATATCCCTTCGTTTCCTACATTCCCTTCTCAGAGATCAGAAAGAAGCCTACGTTTAAAGGCAGGTAGGTAGGTATCATTGCTGGAACCTTGGATACGCGCGTCCTGAGCACAAATCTATACTTACCCAGTGGCAGAACAGATAAATACACATAAATCTATCTACGACCCCATTTTCTCTTCAGCTTAACCCTGAACACTCTGCGCATGTCCGTATGCCCTTCATGCCCTTCGTATCCTTCGTGTCCTTCACGATCTGCGGTCCCTGCATTCCCTTCATGCCCTCCCAATCCCAAGTAAGCAGCAACTTAACAATCGACCAACCAATCAAAAAACCCCATCAGGCCAAGAAAATCCCTCCAGGTCCTCCCAGGGCGCGAGGGGCATAAGGGTGCGAAGGGCACGTAGGTAAATACGTATTACCTACCTAGTGCCAATGCCCCTTCGACGCAGCCACGCAGCCAGCCTCCCGGGATTTGCCCCCCATCTCCTTCTCTTCCGCATGAACTGGCGGACTCTTGTACAGGCAGCTTACCTTAGCTTGTCAAACCTGCTTGCCAAATCTACTGACCTACCTACCTATCAAAGCAAACACACGGGTGCTACAGGTGCTACAAGTGCTACGGTGTCACTCACTCACTCACTAACTCACTCTCCCACTCACTAACTTAATCACCCAGTCACTAATTCACTCACTATTAACTGACTAGAGAATCCCGAGGGGGGTGACGAGAGGATACTCAGTAACTATCAAGGCACGACAAGATGGATAAATGACAAGAGGGAGGGTAAGGTATCACGAAGATTACAAATTACCCGACTACAACTTCCAGTCACTGTCGCAGGGAACGAGGGAAGCGGGGTATTGCAGAAGTAAGCAGATAGGTACGTAGGTAGGTAGGTGGCACGACATATGAAAAATGATTACTGATATACGAAACAGACAGACGCTAGAGGATGTTTTGGGTACTCAGAGTCGGTCAGTATCTAAGTAATTACCTGTCACGGAACAACGACGCCGTTAGTTCCATGCGGAACTAACGGTATATATGCTCTACCTCCTCCGCGACAGTACGGAAGTACCAGCATGGGAGGTATGCATCGTATCTCTCTCTCTATCAATCGAGTCGCCCATACATGTGTGCATATACGCGCGTCGGGAAACAAGTCCTAAGGGATGATTTGAGAGATGACCAAAGTGTGTTGATGTCTAAGTATAAACGTACCTATTGATATCGAATCTAATCATGATTCCTCCCATCCAGCCCGGGGTATCCGACCATTTCTTTTACCCTCGCCAAACCAAACGCCTAACCCCGGATCCATATCCTGGGAGTTCAACTGAGACAAAGATCCCACCTGACTCGGTTAGGTGCTTATGTAATCAGAGGCCCCAGAGCGTGTAACATGTTCTACCCGTTGTGATCCCATGTCCGGAAAGGAGTGAACGGGTACGGTACGGCCATGTACCGGTCCCGGTCCCGAATTATCCCGTCCTGAGCCGTTGGCTCTTCCCTTCCTTTTCTCCCGCCCCCTCTCCGTTCTTGTGTAGCGCCTATGGAGCCAACGGAGTCCAGTATCTAGCTCTATGTAATATATCTAATTCTTCTCCTTCTTCGGATATTTTCCATGCCTGCAAAATGACTCTCGCTTTCGCTTATAAAGAGTGCCTGGCTAAAAGAAATATTCAACCCATACTGCCTCGAGGTCAAAGCAGGGCGTATGTATGAGCATAGGTAGGTAAGGGTATAGGTATGGAGATCAAGTTGGTATCTCTTAGATCCCCCGATTGAAAACAACCAACCCCCCTTCGCCTCCTTTCCCATGAAACTCCTCCTCAAGACTCTCGGCACTGATCCTCTGCCTCTGAGGGAACGCAGCTAAGGCCAGCGGCAGCGCGATGTAGCTCATACCGAGGATCAACCCCAGGTTCACAGGAGTCGTGAAGCGCGGGTTATTCCTCAGCCAATTTGTCCTCTGCAATCTTACCAAAATCAGCGGCGGCACGACCATGATGGGGCTACTATTCAGCACCCGCGACAGCGCCGTCTCAGCGACAGCTAGGGTAGCCGCCTTCTTGCTCTTTCCCAGCGAGGGGACCTCGCTCTCGGCTTTTCCTTCAGCGGCGAGTCTCTTCTTGTCTAGCTCCGAAAGGACGGGGTAGACGTCGATGCCGCGCCGCATTTCCTCGCCGCGCATGAGGAAGACATTCAGAAAACCTGCTGAGGCGACGGCTGCGAAGGGCACGAGGCGGCCGAGGATGAGCTTGGTGGAGGGCGAGACGCGCTTGAGGCGGGGCACGAGGGCGTTGAGGCCGACAGCCACGGAGCACGAGGCGCCGACGGCGAGGCAGTAGGATTGCGCGAGCTTGGAGTATGAGAGGGGCGTCGACTTGTTGGCGTTTGCGTTGTTGATGGCTACGTTGAGGGATTGGTTGCCCCATTGCCAGAGGATGGTACCGACGTTCTGTGATGTAAGCGAGTAGTCAGTTTATATATTCTCGTTGAACACTTCGTTTATGCTGGGGTCGTTGTGTTATATCATATAAGTATCGGAGAGGGGCGCGGAAGGCATAGCACATACCGATAGACCTGGCGTAAGCATGCCCGCCGTCACAACCAAGTTGGACAAGGCGAAGCACGACATGCGAAAGGGCAGCAGGACGGGCTCGCCTGTGTCTGATCGCACCGTATCCATTAGCCAAATCCAACACCACAATAGGGGCACATCGGATCGTATGCGACGAGGAGAAGGAGTGCAAGGAGCGCAGGGTTCGTGGCCGTACCAGGATGTATGGTCGAGTCGACAATCTTCTTGGCCTTCCACAGCTCGGGGGTCATGTCCTTGACGTCGCCCTGCTTGTAGGCCTGGACCAGCTTCTTCGCATTGTCGAGACCGCTCTTGCCCGCGAGGAGAGTCCTGTCACGGGCGCATCAGTCAGTTCGCATTTCCTCCTTTAAAATATAGAATATGTAGTAGAAACACACGTGGGATCGGTGATGCTGGCGGTATGGCGCACGCGGCCCCAGTAGGTGGTCAGGTCGTACTGCGACTCGGGCAGCTCCCGGTTGCCGGGGATCGAGGCAGACATCGTTGTTGGGATTTCCGTTTGGTGTTTGGAAACAAGACTGGCCTCGGAGAGACGACGACTGGTATATCAACAACGATTGTGCCGCAATTGGCTTGGCCCTGGCAAGGGGGAGCTAAGAGAGCGCAGGTGTCGCAAACGCGACTCGTCTCATTGGCGGTGTGTTTGTGAGTGGTAAGTGGTAAGTGGTGAGTGGGATGGGATGGGATGGGATGGGATGAGATGTTCCCAAGGTATTAGAGCGAGATCGGCGCTGCGGCACGCTACAGACGCTGTACCACGGCACCACCCCACCAGTTGGCCGCGGCTACCCGTCTGTACTACACCAACCAACCTCCATCGTGACTGCCCTTTTCGCAACACCAACAGTACTTAAGTTTCTAGTTAAGTGAAATAGATAGAAGACCTTACTTAGATCAGCAATGACATAGTCATGTGGTGAGCGAACTACCTAGTTTAGGGCTTGGCCATGCATTGAACCTGCAGGCTACCGCTATTGAAGGTTGGGGACCTGGCTTGCCCGGGCACGGAAACAGCCGTGAGGGGGGGTACTTCCATCCATGCATTATCATTTACAGTATCCATGCAATACAACATCAACCTCAGGCCAACCTACCAACAACCACTGCCTGCATCTCGCAAAAATTATGCGTCAGGTATCACATAACTAAGCAAAATATCCACACGACCTCGGCCGGACTCGAACCGACAATCTCTAGAGTATCACATCAACAAAGGACACCGAAATCTAGCGCCCTAGCCATTAGGCCACGAGGCCCTCGTCGGACCGGTGAATAGCAGATGACATTCTCAAGAGCAACAGTTTAATATATTGCAAAGAATTGAAATACCTATGTCACGATCAGTTCATACGGCCCTGCAAAGCTGCGGCTGAAATATGCATAAGTAAAGAAGGGATATGTCACATAGCTACCTCAGGTGCCTAGCTAATCTTTTTCATCTAAGAATAATTATTATAGATCAGCTTCTAGGATACCAAATGAAATAAAGAGGGAAAAGTTAAGCAATAATGGAAGCTTAATTCTCCATAGCAATAAGGGTAGATAAGTCAACGCAGGCACCACGATACTATGTGTTTACTAGGTAGACTCTTAATGCCTGTTTTCTTACCTACTCTACTTGCTTACTATATTATCATCTACACTATTGTGCTAACCTCGAGGCTAAGGATCTCAAGCCGTCGGTCTTTCATTCTCTTTCGCATTTGATGATAGCAATAAGAGTCAATCGATCGAAATTGATATGGCCGCATATATATAATCAGTCCGGATCGTGTACAATCTTCGGAACGTCTTAGCCTTAGACAATATTGGTCTTCACTCATGCCACCAGCCAGATGCGAATTTACACGTCAAACGCAATACCTTATATTAATCACTTGTTCGCTAAACATCGGGATGCATATCATCAACATTCCCGGGTCATTGTTGGTATCATAATCATATTTGCCTATCAATACTGTCATCAGCTTGTGAGCAACGGCTCTGTTGCCACAAGTCTCGTTTTCCCTGTGCGGCGCTCTCCGCCACCACAAAAGTCATTCGCACTTGTAATTCCATGAACCATCACACCACACTACTTGCCCAGTGTCATCTCCCCTTATTATAAGTAGAACCCTCAAGCTCTGCCCGCGGCGCCTCCAATTCCGCCCTGAAATCCGTCGGATCCAACTCTGCCCTGGCAGGTACAGATTGCACATGGCTCCCCACGAGCCCCGACTTATTGATTCCCTGCGAACTCGAAGGCACACCGTTATCGTAAGTGACATGTTCCTGGTCCCGCTGCTTCTCCCATGCTCCTCTCCGCTTCCGCCTCACGCACCAGAACGCCGCAATAGCAGCTATCAGCGCCACGAGAAGCGGAATCCCGACACCTAGTCCGACCTTCAGAGCCATCAAAGAGTCCCCAAATCCAGTTCCCGGGCTCGAAGGAGCTGTCGGGGCCGAGCTGGAAGTGGTCCTTGACTTAGAGGGAGAGGAAGATGAGGATGAGGATGAGGATGAGGATGAGGATGAGGATGAGGATGAGGATGAGGATGAGGATGAGGATGAGGATGAGGATGAGGATGAGGATGAGGATGAGGATGAGGATGAGGATGAGGATGAGGATGAGGATGAGGATGAGGATGAGGATGAGGATGAGGATGAGGATGAGGACGAAGACGAGGATGGGGCAGCCGAGTTAAGAAGCTTCTGTCCGCCCAGAAATATCGGCATGGCGTATATCGATATCGTCGTCGTCATGTCGTCTGTGGGCTTCGGAATCGTGGTGCGCGTGCAGTCGCCTGACATGATGAACGTCCCCTCTGTCTGCGTCCTGGCGCATGTGCCTCCTTCTATGCCGCCTTGGAACCTCATCCCGCTTCATGCCATCAAGTCAAGTCAGCAAATCCCAGCCACAATCTTCGTCATTCTTCACGGATAATGAGCAGTAGGTAGGTTGGTAAATAGATAAGCGGGTGATGCAGAAAAGTGATTGATATCTTACCTAGGACAGCAGAACACCCCATCAAGAAACATCACACTAGTCGCCGTCGTCATGCCCTGAGGGCAGATGAGCCCAGGCGAGTAAGTGCCTGCCTCCAGCGTATACGTCACCTGGCCATTTGCGAACGTCCCCGTCGATTCCGTCGCCTTCGGATAGCAGGCATACGAAGTCATGGAATCCGCTCCGCCATCGGGCCCGCAGATTCCTGTTCCTGTCGGGAATGCCTTGACGAAGCAGTTTGTGCCATCACATTGGTCTAGATAATGTTCCGTGCATTGCGGCGGCGGCGTGAATGTCGTTGTTAGTGCCGGGAATGACAAGGGCGTGCTCGCGTCTTCGTCTGCCATTTTGAGAGAGATATACCGATATTTGGAGATGTTCACTTTTCTTTATCTTTTGGGTACCTGAGTATGAAGTTCTCCAATCCAGACATGAGAGAGTAGATGATGTGAAGTCTGGCTGCTGTCGTGAGGATTCTCTTGGCTTCGTCGTGGGAGTCAGCATTATGAAACACCCCACCAAGCCGCAAGGAGCACGTCTCGATATCGCATCCTTGTCGCGACTACAAATAGAAACCACTGGCCCGAATGAAGTCATTTGAAACAGCAGCTGCCTTTTTCGGCGTATACGTCTGAACTTTTGCAGCAATGCAGTGCTTCATGTTCGAGTGTCGACGGCCAGGCGTTTTTTCACAAGAATCAAGTTGGTGTATCACTTACGCAACAACGAACATAAGTGGTCTGTGGTAATGAATGGCTTCGTGAGTTTGTCACAGCTGAGCCACCCACCCTGGCCGCCTGGGCTGCGCCATGGGACCGGGCACCCGGGGTGGTTTCGCCCTAAAGCTGCCTCTGTCTTCATTTTCATCTGTCTGACACCACGATATTTTGATCAATGGTCTACAAAACATATCGAAAATTCTTGTTCTCAAACTCCGTCATGTCACTCATGCCTGCCTCATCACTAGCCTTCTTGTCCTGCGGCCCATACTTCTTATCACGTAACCTGTTTGCAAAGAACATGTGAACTGATTCATAAGAATGTTAGTCGTCGGACCCTCAACGTGTGTCACGAAATTACAATGCGCGAAGGCTATGATAATAAGAAAAGAGAAACATACTCAGCAACACGAACAAGCAAGCAGCCCTGATCGTGTACCCGACAAAGAGCCCAATAGTGGCACTCGGATAATCAGGAGCCTCAGAAGGTTCCACAACAAAAGGCCCCGCGAAGTTTCCCCAGCAGTAAGCTGTGCTACTCATGGTCATGACTTATGAGCATTCGAATATGATCACAGTGAGTGCCGTCTCAACTTACAACAGCAGCGCGCTAGCTAGGGAGCGGTGGGTGTACCCGGCCATATTCGACGAAACGGTCGTAAGGGCGGCAGTAAAGCCAACGGACTGTGAGTTCATAAGCCAGAAGGAGACGAGTCTGCCCCAGGTATTCGAGCGGGGGAGCCAGCCGAGGGTTGCGGCCGCTACGACGCAGAGGACGTTGAATAAAGTGGCGACGATCAATCGAGCTGGGACCAGGAGTTCAGACTCGATATTATCGAATGGAAAAGTATTTCTGTATAGCAAAAAACGGACAGACATACAATTTTTGACGTTCAGGATGATGACCCCCGCAATGAGAACGCTGATAACCTGGGTGGCATCGCCGACGGCCTTAAGTGCCGTGATCTGCTTGGTATTGAAGCCGAGATCAGCAATGATGAGTGTTGAGAACGAGTTGACTACGCCGTTTGGTATTGCACTGATTGATTATTCCCTGTCAGATTCCGCACGCTAGGCAGCGTGGTCACTGTTGGCAGTTGCGCTTTTGGAAAAGGGGGGCACTAACGCAGCAAAAACAGCGATAAACAGCAAGATCGATTTGGGATCTGTGAATCCCAGCCACATCTGCTTCTTGTTGAACTCTCCGTTCTTGATCCCCGTTTCGTTCTCTGAGACGCGCTTCACGGCGATGAGTCGCTCGCGATGGCTCAGGAACTTGGCGTTGATTGGAGAGTCGGCTAGCACGAACCAGACTACGAAGGACCAGAGCAATGTGACGCCCCCAAGCTAGTTCGACGAATTATTACATGACTTGTCAAGTTGGCACCAAGAGACACTGCAGGTGTCTGGTATAGATGAAAAGAATTGGAGGGTATGAAGACGCACAAGGTAGAAGATGATTGCCCATCGTTCAGGTTTCGTATCTGCGGGCAGATTGGCGATACCGAGAGAAATGAACGATCCGATCTTGAATGTTGAATGGCATTAACGTTGTGATAGAAACTCCCGCCATGCAAGAACAAGGTTAATACGCACAATACCGGCCCAACCGAGAGCGGAGCTGAAGATACAATCAATGGACGTTCTTATAGAGCGGCAAAGAATTTCCAAAATGTACTCACAACCAAATGTTCTGTCTGAGTGGAATCTCTTGTCTCGTGTACCAAAAGCCCGTCATCAATGTCAAGCCTCTTGATACAAGGTCAGCTTGGGAGGGAAGCCATCAAGCATTAGTGAGATCGCATGTGAAGTAAGTCTTACGGTGTGACGGCCGATTCGAAGAGACCCATCAGAACTACACAAATTGTCATAAGTTAGATTTCCAGTGACAAAAAAGTTTTCGCCATCATGGTGTAACGCACAGCGAACGGCCACTGTTTCTCTTGTTAGCAATTGCTTATTTTAAGCTATTAAGCGCTTAAGAACCTACTGGCTGATGAATAATCCCGACACTGCGTCAGAAGAACGACGAACACACCCCATGCGAAGATGGCTATAGCGAGCACTTTCTGCGCAGGAAACCGACCGACAAGCCAGCCGCAGGGATATTGGCCGAAGAAGTAGCCGGCATACACAACTAAGTGAGGGGGTTTCGACCGTCAGCTTATGCATGACTAAGTATTGGAAAGATAGAAATAAATGATTCTGGTAGGGAGGAAGGATATGAAGTGAAGTAAAGCGCAAAACCCTACTGGCAGACAAGTAATTGAACTGGTTCCCGTGAAGTCCCAAGGCTTGTTGGTAGTTGAATAGATTTGCGTAGTTGAGCGCTGTCTTGTCGAGGAATTGCAACGCCTGCGTGATGAGGAAAATAGGCATGATGACGAGGTCGATCTTGAGTCGAACCTTTCGCAGCTGCAGTGAAGCAAGTAAAAAATCGAGGTTGTTAGCATTGCCTATCGTGAGAGCTACAGTCGTAGCGCGGGTGAAGTACAATTAGAATCATACCTCCTTGTCTGAAACTTCCAACCTCAGTGCTTCGCGATATTCA